CATGGCTCATGGGCCCAGCCGCTCCGCGGCATGTGGGATCCTCCCAGACCGGGGCACGAACCCGTGTCCCCTGCATCGGCAGGCAGACTCAACCACTGCGCCACCAGGGAAGCCCTCAGGTTAATTTTTATGTGGGGTATAAATTAAGGGTTGAGGTTCTTTTCTTTTTTCCTCTTTTTCTTTCTTTCTATAATAGATGTGATAGATAGATAGATGATAGATAGATGTTCCAAGTGTTCTAACCTCATTTGTTGAATGTTCTGCAATTTCTAGTATGTTAGATTTATACTTTGTTCTATACTCATGGTCACAGATGACTGCAAAAATTCCAGGCATCACATTTGGAATGACATGCAGGAGAGACCATCTCTTCATAGAAGTGTACAGGAAACTTTTATTCATCTCTTATTACCTACACTTCATACATGCTTCCTGTCTAAATCAGTCAGTGGAAAGGGGACTGGGACCACCATTATTCATTTATTCTTTTAACAAGAAAATGGCATGTTTTCTATATTCATTCTAGGGGCTAGGAGTACAGTAGTGATGAGAAGAGTAAAAATTGTTGCCTGCTTTTATGGAGCATACAATTTACTGAAGAATACTATTTGCCTATTTTCAAAATAAATAAGTAACTGGCATAATATGTTGTTGTACAGTATTAAGCACTGGGAGGGAAAAAGGAAAAGGAACTATGAAGTATTGTGGGTAGGTTGAAAATTTAGATAGGATAGTTAGGAAAGGGCTCACGGAGTTGACTTTTGCATAGGAGACCTGAAGAAAGTGATAAAGTAGGCCATACAGATATCAGATTGAAGAGTGGTCCAGACAGAATGAAAAGTGCAATAGTCCTGAGAACAGCAAGGAGGCCGCAGTGGTTGCAGAAAGTAACAGGAAATGGGGGAGGTACAGAAACATGTAGATCATTGTAGGTAAGTCATTCTCAACCAGCAGCAATTTTGGCAAAATTTACAAATTTTGGTAATGTCTGGGGGACATTTTTGGTTGTCACAACCTGTAGTACTACAGAGGCCCAGGGTGTTGATAAATGACCTATAATGCACAGGAGAATCCACTTTTCACTATCCTCCCCTTTGTCAACTAGGAATTATCTGGCTCAAATGTCAGTAGTACCAAGGTTGAAAAACACTGTTTTAGGTCATAGTGAGGACTTGCTGACAATGACTGAATTAGAATGTCACTGAAGAGTTTTGAGCAGAGAAATGATCTAAGCTTTTATAAAGATCATGCGGCTGTTTGTTGTGAATAGACTGAAGGGGTGGAAGGGTTAGAAATATGATAGCTTTTAGGACGGTACTACCAGTGTCCAGGAAAGACATGGTGGTTTGGACCAGAAAGATAGAAGTAGGAGTGGTAGGAAGTGATGGATTCTGGATATATTTTGAAGGCTGAGCTAACAGGATTTACGAACTGCTATGAACTAAATGTTTGTGTCCTCCTAAAATTTGTATGTTGAAACGTAATCCCCAAGATGATGGTATTTGGAGGCAGGAGCCTTTGGGATGTGACTGAGTCATGAACTTGGCCAGATTCAGGACTGTGAGGAATACATCTCTGTTGTTTAAAAACCACCTAGTCTGTGGTATTCTATTATAGCAGTGGGAAAGGGCTATGATACTAACATACTAGGTATATATAGGTATGAAACAGAGGAGCCATGTATGACCCCTTAAGAGTAATCTGTTGTGCCTGGTACTGTTGTTGCATCTTCCCAAAGATAGTAACCTGGGGAGTGGGTAGAAACCTGAACAAATTTGGAATGGCAGATTTAATGCCCATATAAACGTTTGGGCAGGCAAACAACAGCATCTGTTACATATATATCTTATAGAAATAAGAATGGATGTTAGATTAGTGAGTGACTATCTTAAAGGGCATGATTATTCTATGTATAGACTATAGAGTTTCTTTAAAAATGCTTTTTTATCCACATGAGAGATTTTTAAAAAGTGTCTTCTCATGCCATCTTTCATTTGGTGACAGTTTGATAGATGTAGGAAGTCTTAAAACCCTATTCCATCAAAGTCATTAAAGGATTTTGACTTCCAGTATTTGCTTGCATCCCAAGCAATTACTGACTTCCCACATAAGATGTTGATGTATTGTTTAAGAATTGCTTTCTGAGCATTTGTGTTGCCTAACCTAAAATATTATAAGCTAACTATGAGTCCTGATTATTATGTTAGAAAACTACTTACGTCTTTCACTTAATTATCATCATAATCTTATAACTAATAACCTGACAAACTCTACTTAGGCTTCTTGCTCTAGAGGCCTGACCAGTGTGACTGGCTGCCCGGGTAAATGCTCAGTAAGGACCGGCCTGTTGACTTGGAAACTCTAGATACCGAGATCATGGTACAAGAGGCCTGAAATTCCTTCTACACAAATGCACACCAAACTGATCTGATGGTGCCGCCGCCTCTTCGTCTCTGCGTCCCCGAGCGCTGACAGGCCGCCTGAAGGAGAACGCTGGCCGCGGCCTAGGCGAGGCTCCGTAGGCCCGGGGCCGCAGTCTCCGCCCAGAGCGAGCTGTGTCGGGGGCGCGCTGCGCCGCGGGCCCAGGTGCAAGAAGTTAGTTTGGCCCCTTCCGCGGGCCGCGCCGGCTCCGGGCCCGCCTCCCCGCGGGATTGGAGGCCTGCGGCCCCGCCCGGCCCTGCTAGGCCGGCGGGAGGCGTCTCGCGGTCTGGCGGCGGGAACGCGGAGGGCCTGGTTAACCTCGTCTGGTCTCCGGGTCCTGGGGGTCGCGTCGGGACCCACACTTACGCTACCCGCTCTCCGCCTGCCCGGCCTGCGTGGCGCCCCAGCCCGGGGAGGAACTGCGGTCGGAGAGAGACGCTGGGGCCTCCGCGCCGCGCCCCAGCCCCGGACGGGCAGCGGTCCCTGCTTTCGCGGTTGGTCCTTTTTTCTAACTCAGTGCGTGAACCTGGCTCCCCTTCAACTCCCGTTCGCCCAGAGGGCGGGGCGGAGGAGTGAGGCGGGAAAGGAGATTGGGTTTCTCTTTTCGTCGGTCTAGAGGGAGCTTGAGTCGGGAAGTGAGTCTCCAGACGCCGGCGAGCTTCGGGTGGTTCGGGCCGGCCGGGCTTGGGGGTGTCTTGGGCCGCAGAGCAGGACAGGCGGGCGGTGGGCCGCGCTGCCCCGCCCCTGCCTCCGCTCTCACGGTCCTCCGCCATGGCCGCCCCAAGCCCAGTCTTGGCTCGGGTTCAGGTCTCTGGGTAGCGGTTTGTCCCCGGAAACTCGTGTTGAGCACTTTTCATCGCAGCCCTGGGAGGGGACCCCAAAGCAGCAGGGACGTCTGTGTCGGTACTGGCCTTGAGAGGATGCTGGCGCTTCCTCCTGTGAACTTGAACTCCGCATCCATGCCCAGAATGCGCATTGTATAGTCAGTCACCTTTCAGGTCTCAAGTTCTGATGCCACAGAGCTGCCCCTAAACTGTGTTTGTCTTCTTTATACTGATTGAGAATTTATGCCCTGCTGAAAAGTTGTTCTCTGTAGACTTTAGGTTTTAAATCAGCAAATAAATGTTGGGCCCCAGTACATAAAGTACTGGTCAGTATATATAAAGTACTGGTTAAAACTTTTCCTGTTTTGGGCATCGTTCATTTAAATTCCTGGCTTCCCTTGTGTTCGCGTTAGGAGGAGGACAGGTGAATATTGTTAAAGATTTCTGCTGTGTTCCTTTGCTCTACCTGGGGTGTTGCTGCTGAGTAAAAGGTAGGGCGTTGATTAAAGTTAAGTGAAGCAGGGAAAAACCTACTAAAAGGAACAGAAACCTTCTCATTCCGAAGATGGATAGCGTATACAATGAAAACTTTACTTTCATTTAAAAAGCACTCACCAGTTTTAAAAAATTCTTTGGAAATACTTAGAGGATGGCAGTTACTTTCACAGTTAGTTTCAGGCCTATATGCTGTGTGTGCTTTTTCCGAAGAAATTTTCCCTTCTGACTCAAAAATCTGGTGAAATTCACTAACCTGTGTACAATTATAATTAATTGGGTAAAGTTGTATGGCTATACTATGGAGTCCATACTTTTTTTGTTTTGTTTTGTTTGCGGTATGCGGGCCTCTCACTGTTGTGGCCTCTCCCGTTGTGGAGCACAGGCTCTGGACGCGCAGGCTCAGTGGCCATGGCTCACGGGCCCAGCCGCTCTGCGGCATGTGGGATCTTCCTGGACCGGGGCACGAACCCGTGTCCCCAGCATGGGCAGGCGGACTCTCAACCACTGCGCCACCAGGGAAGCCCTGGAGTCCATACTTTTGTTGTTGGCAGTACTGTATTAATCTCTAAGACAGGGCAGTTTTCACTTTGGTGAGGATGGGGAAGGAACAGGATATAGAGGAACAGAAAGAAGCTGAAAGAGTAGTGTGCCAGCCCTAAAACTGCACAGTGGCCTAGTGCTCTGCTTAATTATACATCCATGAAAACCCAGTGCTTTGCTCATTTAACAGATGTTTACTGAGTACCTACTCTGTGTCAGTTGCTGGGCTTGGTAATGATGTACATTGCTGTCATCCATGTTTTCCCAGTCAAAAGCTGTATTTTCTTTCCTAGTGACTGAAGACCTTCTCATCTTTGACATTTAGCATTCTTAGTGAAAGGAGTATTTTCATATATATGAAATTTATTTTCTCTTTGTAATTGGATATTGTTAACTCATTTCTTAAGGTGTATTCTGCACTGTTAATAGGTATTTTGACTGCCTAACTGAATTTTGGAAATGTT